AAGGGGAGCAAGGGGGGTTGCAAGCGGGAGAGCTGCAGTTTCTCCCCTCACCAAACTCAGACGCAGCCTCTTTCCTCCCGCTACAAGGGATGAGGCTGCACAGGGCACCAAGTTTCATCAAGATCAGACAAGAAATGCCAAAGTGATAGCCTGCTTCGACCTTCCCCATTATAGCCTATGGGGAAGTCGAAACAGCTCAAATATTCGACTGAGCTTCGACTCGAAGCGGACGGCAAATCGAAGTGGGACCCGGTTTAATATTCAACATGGCTGTCGAATCAAATATTACGTGCTCTGCACAGCGCTAGTGTCCAGTGTCAGTCAGGGAGGTGAAAAAATTCTCTTTCTTGGCTAGCAATGAAGTTTCCATTTCCAGACAGCTAAAATATGGTATCTTGCATATTTCAGAGAGAAAATTTTTTTTCCTATTTAGTTGATCTAATAAAAGATATTGCCTCTAACCCAAGAGTTTTGTTTGTCTATAATTCTTAGGCCACCGTGGCTACAACATATATCATTAATTCTAAAATCTGTGTAAATATTATTTGTTTAACTTTTCTCAGGCTGTTTTTTGTTTCCAATAGATAGCAATGTTAACTCAGTTTTGTTGTTTATCCAGATAGTAACTTATAAATTTATTGCATTATATAGCATTTTGTGCGTATTAAATTTAATGCATCTTTTCTTTAACAGTTGTTTCCCCGAAGATGCACGTGGTTGTATGTAATGAACAATTGCTTGTTATCAATATCTGGTAAGAGTTTCTGTTATGTTTGAATGTCAGTATTTGAGCCCAGTTTATTTTATATTTGAAACATTATTTTGTTTTTTAATCTTCAGGTAAAGCTTCTCAGCTTTATTCACATAATTTACCAGGTCTCTTTGATTATGCACGACAAATGCAAAAGTTACCTGTTGCTATTCCAGCACACAAGCTTCCTGACAGAATACTTCCCAGGTAAATATGCATTACTTAAATGTATCAGCAATGATCAGTGGAACACCTTAATTGTAAGACTCCAGGATACTTGCATGAAATAATGGGGATTCCAAGTAATTTGCAACTATAGTCTCAAGTTCAGGTTCAAATGAATTCCTCCTACTGGCATTATTTAGAGCATAAGCACATAAATCAAGAGAAGAACTTGTGTGTATTCCAGCACGAAAACTTGAATTCTCCATATTTCATTTTCTTGCCCAGAGAGAGGCTTTAGGTTTGATTCTGATCCATTTACCACTGTGGAATTACTCGTGTTACTAAGGCTACAAATTGTTCCTTCAGAGAAGTTCTGGCTGTTTCTGTTGTAAAACAACCCCCTGGAGTCAGGTTCAGGTATATTTATACAAGAACCAGGGGGAAGAGATTGAAACAGTACCTATTAGGAAGTGTTCGACTTTTGTCCCATCCTGAGGTATTAAAGAAAGGATACTTTCTTTTCAGAGACAAGTCTTGTAACTACGGAACTACTAATAAAACCAGAAACAATAATCACCCCAGCAGAAGCTGAGTGTGACTGTGCCATATTGTGCTGCCAACCCAGCATTGGTTTAAAAAGACGGAATTATGAATGCTTAGATCCATGAAACATTGAATATACAGGAATCCATAATTATCCTTTATTTACCTGCAGAAGCCTGGAATTGTGCATTCCTCCTTCACTCTGTTTCTAGTGATAAGGAGTCCTCTTAAATATGAGGTACTCCTGTATGAAATGGAGCATATGTTAGATTTAGAAGCAACAGAACAAGTTTCCTTAGGAGAAGAAATGAGGAATAAGTGTACTTAGCTGCATAGTGAATAGGTAGATAGCTTAAAATAAACCTGTTTCTAAAATAAAAGTTTCTGTTCCAGTTCCTTTCCTTTTTATTTTTTAAACTTTCTCATTAGACCAAAACAGAAGGTTAAAGAAGTACTTTTTCACAATAAGATTACAAGGCTCCGGCAATGAATGTAATGCAAATTCTATATGGAGTCCCACAGATGATACTTGCCAGCAAAGATCATATAAAATTGGACCGATCCTTAGGAGGCTGTGGTGTCTCAAAATAGTCCAGGTGTCAAATTAAGGACCCAGTCTGCTACCCCAAGGGGATTAGTTTGCAATGTAGCATAGCCTCCATGAGCCATAACATACCTTCTGCTTCAGAGAGAGAGAAATGGTGAAAATAACCTAACTGAGGATTCAGGTTGGAGATGGCTTTGATGCTTACAAGGCAGAACAGATCCCCAGAGTACTTCACAGTATTATAACTTCTTAACAGATGGACTTATCAGCAGTTATGATTCCCAGCATTCTGAGGTACAATTTGTAGCCCTTAATTCATTAATCATAGTTAGGAAAGGTTTCTGTGAAGTTGCCTGCAGACAGCTGTTAAATGAACCAAAAATGCATTCTCCCTAGAATTTAAATCTGATTTTACAACATCTATCTCACCCACTTTATGAATTATTTCACAGTTTGTCTCCATACTGTCTTATTTTCCTCATCCCCCGTTAGCCAGGAGGCTATGCAGATTGAGAATACCAGTAGCAGTGGACCAATGTGGTCAATTTTACAAGGTCAGGATCATCATGAGATTGCCAAAATAGCTCCAGCACAAGATGACATTTCATCTACATTCCAAAGGGCTCAGGAAACTTCCTGTCTAGTCCCATCACATCCCAAGAAAAATGTTGTGCTGCCTGAATATGGAAAGGGCAGTCACAATGCACATAAGCAGGACAGTAATTTTGATATTCCATGTTGCTCTTTGCTGTTGTCTTCCCCTCAGTAAAAGGCATCCACAGGACACAATAACTGTGCAGATTACAAAATGCATATTTGAAATACAGAAATAGCAAGGTAAATGATCTTTCTACTGCATCCTAAAGCACTTTACCATGGTTGCCAAGAGCTTCCTGAAGAATGAGCTCAGTATGAAAAATGTCAATGAACTGAGAGTAAAATTCTCTGAAGAGAAAATGCAAAGTAGAATTCAAAGCAGCTGCATGGGCTTCAGCACATACATTTGCAGAATGTTATAAGCTTGATTTATGAGGCTTAGACAGAACGTTTGGTGGTAGCAGAGTGCTACAGGTTGCAATTGTCATGGTCTCCAAACCAGCTTCTGTTCCTTGACTCTTTTGGAGTTCTTGCCAAGTCTTTCATGATTTCTTCCCTGCCATAGCTTGAAGCAGTGCTTCATCTTCCTCCTCCTCAGCCTGTCAGCCCTTTTTGACTGTGTTTTTTTTTTTCTTTGAAACCAAAGAAGGAAAGTTTTGTTAAACTCAGTCCTTTCCTTGTTCTGTCCGTGATTCTCAAGTAGAGTATTCAGTGTTATTAATGGGATCGTCTTCATTCTCTCCATCTTCCTGTGCTGTTCCATCATGGCTCCATTCTTGGCCTTTCTCTTCTCTTTGGATACCTTGCTTATGTATAATGCCCTTACAAATACAAATTGAAATGTCCTGTCTTTGCTGATGACCCTATAATCTACCTCTTCTACAAACTTGTAACTTGTTCAATTTAAAATTTTAGACTTTCTCATTTCCCTGTACTTGAATGTCTGATCATCAGCTGAAGCTCAGCAATGCAAAACCAAACCTCCTAAACTACCTATTTCCAAAGTCTTTTCTAGCCATCCTTTCTCTGCAGCTGTGGGCAACACCTTATCAATTATGCGTTGTATCTGTCTAACATCTTCCACCCTGCTCTTTCTCTTGATTCTCACATACAACTTGTGTTCACATTTTAGCTCAATCATTTTGGATAACATCTTTAAGATACTTTTCCTGTTCATCCATATGACCAAAAGGTCTTGCTCAAGCTGTTGCCATCTTGCAGTTCAGATATTTTAATGTCCTTTCCTCTGTCTCTGTTGGATGTAGCCTCCGCCCCCACCACTGTATCTTTTCATAAACCTTCTGCAAATTTTTCCCACAGGTATGCCCAAAACTACCTCATTGCCATCCTTCAGATCTAATTATAAATTCTGTTCTGATTATAAATTAGCCCTGCATATAAGTTGACCTCATGTTTTGGGGTTTAATTTTAACTGCAGTAAAAGACCTTGAACTGTGGTTGCCCTTAAAAATCTCACAGGAGAATCATATTTAACCAGGAAAAGAACTCAGAGTTAAATCCAATACAAACAATGAAACACAGCCAAAGTTAAAAAAATTACTTTGTACTTCTATAGCTTGCATGAAATTTATGACAGTAGGGGGCCTGTTTATATGTTAAATGCCAAAAGTGAAAGTAGTTGTTATAGTTTGTTTGGAGTGGAAGAAAAGGTAGCTCTATAAGCAGGACAAAGCAGTATTTGAGTTGTCCATTTTGAAGAATAAGCGGTCGCAAATAGTAGCTCTAGTTACTGTAAGTTAGGTTTAACTGCCTCCAAGCTCCAGGGGAGACGAACACATGTGTCTATAAATGTGCTAGGTGTATTGTTTTCAAGAAAAAAATAAGTAAGTACCATATGATTCCCTTGTTTTAGTTCTTTTGAGTGGATATCATTCCCTTTATTGCACATCTTAATAAGTAGGAGATGGAGTTGCTGTTTTTAACAGATTAATAATTTTGTTTTTGTATCCTGTAGGAAATTTGCCGTATCTACTAAAATTCCTGACACCAAATGGTGTCAAAAATGTTGTGTTGGTAAGTAATGGCACACCAAAAATACTTCAGCAAGCAGAATATTTGGTGACTGTTTTAAGGGTTGTATAGCAGGTCAGTGCTTGGGAGGAAACCTTTAGAGAGAGATTTTATTCAGATTAGACCTCATGTTTAATGTGGAGTGAAAATTTGCCCCATTTCTCTTCTTTGCAAGTTCAGACTAGCAGAGCATACATCAGGTGTTTAGGCCTCCCTTCATGAAAAATCTGTCTGGTGGCATATAGGAAGCTAACATTCAACTATAGACAATGACTTCTAGCACTGCCTTCAGCAGTTTGGATTAATATAGATTGATACTGTGGGTCTGCTTTGTTTTCTTGCAGCTCTAGCAAAATCTAAAAGGACAGTGTAGGTTCTCTAGAAACAGTGCCAAGTAAAGAAGGGCCCAGTGCAGCCACCACTTAAGAGTTGCCACAACCATATAGGAGTGAGATTCAAAGCACCAAAAGGTAAATGTTCATAAAAAGCAGGAAAATCACTGTATTTGCTTGCTTACATGGTCTTTTCCCAAAAACCATGCCTCCAAAACTGGCGTGCATGCTTTCAGTAGAAAGGCTGATTTCTGCACTGGAATTGAAGCACAGGGACTCTGTAATAGCTACAGGGATTGTCCTTCACAGCCAAGGATGGGGAAGGGTGTTACAGTTTCACAGTTTGTTTCAACCTTTTCACAGCTGCTGCTGAATTAACAATAGCTTTTGCCAATTTGGCAGCAGCTGTAAGAGGGTTAAAACTATAGCTGTTGCCTGTATAGATGGTCAGGATTCAGCCATGACTCTGTAAATGTCATCATTCATCCTGCCTTCCCAAATGAGGTGAGTTGTTTTTTTTTATATGGTGGTACGCAGTTTGTAAGAAAACACAGTACTTGTTGCATGAACTCTCAGATCACGTGGTGTAGTTCCCTGTAAGCACAGAGCACAACATTTTCAGTTTGTCATACATAAGCAATAGTGCAGTATCGCCCTGTTGTGGGGGATGAGGAGGAGCTTTACAAGGCAGTTGATTAGAGTTAGGTGCTTAACTGCCATCTGTGTCTTTGAAAATCTCCCAAGTGCTGCTAGTGCATCTTTGTCACTTGTTTGTCTTATCCACCTGTAATGTCTTTTGGGCTTGTAAAATTATTTTGGGCAAGGGATATTCTTTGTTATACGTTTATTTGTTGCCTAACCTAATAAGCAGAGATCTGGGTTTTCTGTTTCTTGTGGGAAAACAGAGAAAAACATGGATTTTTACCCCTTTGCCTGAGGAAATGGTGGATTTTTCATTTTAGCAGAGAAACCTGCAGATTTTAGTCTTTTACAAAGAGCTCTCTGCAGGCTGGCAGAGTTCCAGCCTGCAGGGGACAGGTGAGCCGGAGGAGGGCAGTCAGGCGGGGGGGCCCCAGGCAACCTGGAGAGTAGCTCCAACAGGTGAGTTGGGGGAGTTTAAATGAGGCCCCCATAGAGAGGGAGGGAGTTGGGTGGGACTGGGGCTGGGGTTAGGGTGCTGCCCAACCAGGAGTTGCTTGGAGCCCAGGGCTGCAATGCGCAGCCACAGGGCCCCAGTGGGGAGCAGAATGGGGTTGCAGGTGGCTCATCCAGGATGCTGGGGCCAGTTCCTCACTGTTGTGCGCACTCCCAGTGGGGTGGGGGGACACATACCCCCCCAAATCTGTGCAGGGGGTGGAGGCAGGTGCAGGCTGCCCTCTCTGGGCATGGGCTTCCTACCCTGCTGCCCTCCCTTGGGGCCTCCACAGCCCAGCGGGTGGGAAGCGCTGCTGCAGGGCAGAGCGAGGCTGCATGGGGAAGCTGCTTGCCACTCCAAGCTCCATGCTTCCCTAGCGAAGTGTCCTGTGCGCAAGTGAGAGCAGTGAGGGGCACAGCCCTGCAGCTGCCACCCCTTCTGCTGCCGTGCCAGGGGGGGACACCTCACCAGGGCAGTGTAGACCTCGCAGCAGCAAGCAGCTTCCCCGCTGTGCCGTGCACCACTGGGTCACATCTGCTGAGCTGTGCAGGTCCTGGAGAAGGGCAGTAGGACAGGGAGCCTGACCCCACACCTGCCCGTAATGGCAGCAGACAGGCAGCAGGGTTGGGGGAGAGAGGTTTTGCACTCCACTACAGCAGCTGCTGCCTCCTGTGGGTGGCAGCCAGGGCTCAGGCACTGCTGCGGGTGGCAGAGGGATGCGGACCCGGGTCCCTGACCCTATAGCCCTGGCAGCTGGGGGGGGGGGGGGGGGGGGGGGCGGGGG